TGATCACCTTGAACACCGCCCATGTGCCTGGCACTTCTATTGCAGCCCCAGTGGCACCCCAAATGGGAATGCAGGGTGGATAGCCTGCCAAAGCGGAGTAAGCCCTGGTCTTTCCAGAGGGGCCCTCGGGCACTGGCGCGGCCTGGGCACTCTGAGCGCCTGTGTTTGGGATCTGGGCTGTGTGGACGTGACAAGAGCAAGGTTTACCTTTCCACTCTGACCAGCTGGGGGAGTAGACTTGTCCTCAGTCTGCAGAGCGGTGCCCTTCATCGGCTAGGAGCTGGCCAGCAGGGCAGGCCTCTGCAAGCTTTACATCATTCGGTGCGTCAATCGATTAGGAACACAACAGAACATCTTTTTGTATTTTTTTCCCCCAGGTTAAAAACAAGTTCCCTTCGAGGATCCCCTGGACTGCAGTGCTCTCTCCCTTTGAAAGCCTAGTTTTGCCCTTGATCTTTGCATTGTTTTTCAAAGCAGAGATTGCTCAATTTTCCGGCTGCTGGTGAGTAAGCAGCACGCGGTGTGAAGGCAGAATTGGAAACAGTGGGTGACGGAAGGCCCCACACAGTTTCATCATCCAGGGAGTATCCAGCCTCTGCCTGTGAATATACACTGCGGTCGAGAATGGTGGTGACAGCTTACATTTGTTCAGGGCTGACTCTGCCAGCCTCTGCACTATCCCCATTTTCCAGACAAGGAAAGTGAGGCCTAGGGAAGTTACATAATATGCTGGACATGAAATCCAAGGTGTCAGCACAGGCGGTCTTGCTGGGGGGCTCCCATGCCTGCCTGTTAGGGGCTGATGAAACTCTCAGAGATGGGTTCTTGGAGCTGCAACCAGAGATGGTGTGCTGTAAATCGTTATGAAATGATCAGCAAAGACACTGTGTGCAGCCCCATTCAGGTCCTATCTCCTGGGGCCACTTGGAAAGATCTGGATTATGTGAGCTCCTTTGCTTTTCTGCAATGGGAACAGTGGTTTCCTTTCCTCTGCGGACAGAAAATTTACAATGGTGGGTAGGGAAGTGGACTGTAAGGCATCGTCAGCATTTTGCCTAATTGATAAAATACAAGTTCCACAGCCAGTTCTGAAAACTTCCCACATGTACCCCTAAAGCTGCTTTTCACCCCTGTCCCCACCAAATACACTCCCAGTTGCCCTTGCAGGCACAGACAGTATTGATGCTTCCTTACATCAAATGTCTCTATGTGGTTTGGCATGAAGGGTTTGATTTGGGCAAAGGGGGCTTCCCTCCTGCTGCTGCGATAAGCCGTACCTCTAGAGCTCCTGGGGAGGACCCCTGACAACTCTGGCAAGCACAGCTGGGTGCCAGGTACACACAGTGCATGGATAGGAAGCCGCAGCTCCCCATTCCCTCACCACCCCCTGCTCTCCATGCCCTGCCTCCAGTCGAGCCTGGCTGTTGAATTCTACAGTCCTTGGGAGGATGAGCTGGGCCACCGATTAGTGTCCCAGGTATGGATGGGGCTGGGGCCTCTGGGAGCCTGTCCCCTGCCCGCCCAGTCTGGCAGGAGGCACACAGGTAAATGCAGGTTTATGTAGCTCTTTGGTATCCCTGTAACCCACTGTCACACTCTTTGGAAGTGCAGAGGGGGCATTTTATTTTACCTGGGAGCCACCCAGAAAGCTTCTCAGGGGAGAGGAGCTTCAGGTGGGCCCTGGAGGATGGAAAAGGGGCAGGAAGGAGTTCTGGGTGTCAGGAAGAGCAGGACTAATGCCATGAAGATGAGGGTGATAGGGAGATGTGGGTGGTAGCGTGAGGAAAATTTGAGCATGGAGAACAGCAAGAAGAAAGTCATGAAGATATGACAGTAATTTTTTTTCCCATGGATCTGGGGAGGGGAGACCTTTAGCCTGGAAAATGAGCAGGGGTCTGCAGGGCTGAGAAGATGGGAGGTGGGTTGAGGTTCCAAGGCTACAACACTTAATGAGGGGTTCTCTCTCTGGCCCATTCTACACCTCAGGGCCTCTAGCAGGAGTGCCTCCTCATGCTAACAGAGGCCAGACCCTGGGAGTCAGACCACGGGGGACATGGAAGACCTGTCCTGGCTGTGGATGCCGGCCAGTGGGCAGCGGGACCTGGCATCCAGGATGCACCCAGAAATGAGCAGAGGAGCAGTGACCTCTCGACCTGCCAGGGGAGGGCAGCTCATCTTCATAGGACGGAGGGACAAATGGCCTGCACAGGCCTCGAGGAAGGGCCTGGTCCATTCGTGTTTATGGGGTCGGGAGCAGGGAGAGCTCTCTCTCTGGGCTGATGGCTGTTTGGTTTACTGCTGCTATGAGGCAAGCCAGGGAAATGTTTGGGAAATCGATCAGCCAGGAGAGGAATGTCCATGGAATTTCCACTACGTGCAGGGTGACTGAGACCTCAGAGAGGGAGGGAGGGATCTCACTGGGCAAACGCACAACTGGGTGAAATGTCCGGGGCTGGCAAACTGCCAGACACACAGTAGGCAGGCCCCAGATATTTACCGTATGATTCTCTCTTTCATATGTGCCATTAGGAAAACATTTCTTTAAAAAAAGAAGGAATATACTTGCTTTACAATGTCATGTTAGTTTCCACTGTACAATGAAGTGAATCAGCCATATGCGTACATATATCCCCTCACTCGTGGACCTGCCTCCCACCCTACCGGCATCCTACCCCTCTAGGCATCACAGGGCACCAGGCTGAGCTTCCTGTGCTTTATAGCAGGCTGCTATTATCCCAGCCTCCCAATCCATCCCACATTCCGCACTGTGTCCACATGTCCATTCTCAGTGTCTGCGTTTCTAATCCTGCTTTGGAAATAGGTTTCAAGTGGGTACTCTGATTCTACATTGAGGAGGTCAGAGAGAAAATTCAGATTCTTTGGGGGAAAATAAAATCCTTTAGGAACTCACCTAAAAAATAATGTTATAAAACTCAGAACTGTTGTCAGCTCCTGAACCAGAAACTGTAAAAATATGACCAAAATGACCGTGAACTTCCAGTTGCAACTTTTTCCCACCAACCTTAATTGTACTGTTGTTGAGGAGATGCTGGGGGCAAGAAATGTGTGTGTGACAATTTATTGATATAATAGTGGCAGAACACAAGACAAGTAACTTGGTGAGGGCCACAGAGCCCGTGAAGTGGCTGGAAAAAGATCTAGCAAATTAATTTTAACTTGGTTCATCTTGAGATGGGGCTTCCCAGGTGGCGCTAGTGGTAAAGAACCTGCTTGCCAATGCAGGTAGATGTAAGAGGTATGGATTCGATCCCTGGGTCGGGAAGATTGTCTTAGAGAAGGAAACAGCAACCCACTCCAGTATTCTTGCCAGGAGAATCCCACGGAAAGAGGAGCCTGGCAGGCTACAGTCCATGGGGTTGTATAGATTCGGACACAACTGAAGTGACTTAGCAAGCACGATTCCTGAGATAGATAATATAACTGAAAATGTAAAACCTGATTATACCAAATAATGTAGTATTTACTAGATAATGTGAATCCAGAGGGCTAAAAAAAGAGTGTGAAGGGAAAACCAGTCTCTTTCTCAGTCACCTAATTTCACACCTTCCTCTGCAATGCGGGCGAGCTTCTTATACATACTTTTCAAAATAGTCCATACATTTAAAATCACAATGACACATACATTCATATGACTTGTTTGTGCACAAACAATAGTATATTCTATGCCTTCCTGTTTTTACTTCACTTGGAAATTTTACTTGCCTAATCTTACAGACCTTGGAGATTTTTCTCTCTCAGTAAATATAGAACTGCCTTGTCAATAGCTACCTGGTTTCCAAGGACTGGGTGCCAGAGAGAGTGCCTGGTGTCTGGATGTGAGCAGGCCCATTTTTCACTGTCTCTGAAGCTACAGTGACAATTTTCTGTCTGGATGTGAGCAGGCCCATTTTTCACTGTCTCTGAAGCTACAGTGACAATTTTCTTTCCATCTAAGAGGATATCTAGAGACAGGAATTTTAACGAAAGAGAAAGCTGTAATCATCGACTCCTGATAAAAATCTGACCTGAGGCTGAAAGGCAGAGGAAGCTGGGGTCTGCGCTCAGTTCCTTAGCCTCAGCCCTGTCTCTCTATCTCTCTCTCTTTTTTAACTTAAATTTTTTTTTTTTGGCCACACCATGCCGTATGTGGGAATTTAGTTTCCCAAACAGGGATAGAACAGGTGCCCTCTGCAATGGAAGTGCAGTTTTAACCAGTGGACCACCAGGCAAGTCCTCAGCCCTTCTCTTAATGGCTCTGAGTCCCCCTACTCTCTGGAAGTTCTGTTAACTGGGCTCTGGGGGGCTGTGGTGAGACTGCGGAGCTTGGCATCAGTCCTGGGAGGAACTGTCTCTTTTCTTCCTTCTTTCCTCCTGAGAAAGTCTCTCAAGACAGCAATTAAGGGGCCTGTTCGTCTTTTTCCTGCAGAGGCAGAAACAGTTCCGGCTTTGCTTCTGAGAAACAAGGCTTTCAAAGACTTAGGTTCAAAGCACTCCTTCCTCTTTCCGGGCCTTGATTTCCCCACTTGAAAACTGGCCAGTGGGCTGACCTTGCCCAGCTCATCTCTCCTGCTTTCCCTAGGTCGTCCAGGGAGAACTGGCAGGCTCAACCTGAAGATGTCCCTTGAACAAAACAAGCAAGCACCATCCTTCATGTGACCGTGCGCTCCTGGCTGGAATTGCACTTTGGCTCCAGGTCTGAACCTTAACAGGACAAACACAGTCTGAAACGTGGACCGTTTGCCCTCCTTCCACCCACGGTTTGCGCAGGGCTGTGTACGTACAAACAAAACAAACTTATTTTGAACACTGCCCTCGAGCACGCGGCGCTGCCAATCATTAACCGCTGGTTGAGGTGGCCCAGCCCGAGCCCTTCAAAAGGCGCACGCGGTGCTCAGCGAGCATCGGCCACCGCTCCGGCGCCACCGCCAGGCAGCATCCGCCAACCAAGCCGCCCCTACCGCTAGCGAGCGCCGGCTCCCGTCTGCCACCCACCGCCTGCGATGCCCGAAGTCCTTGCTATCCGAACCTGGCCGCTTCTGCTATCGCTGGCCGTTCAGCTCGGCGCGACGGTCGGCGCTCCCCAACCCTGGCGCTGTGCGCCCTGCTCCGCCGAGAGGCTGGCGCTCTGTCCGCCCGTGCCCGCCTCGTGCCCGGAACTCACTCGGTCCGCGGGCTGCGGCTGCTGCCCGATGTGCGCCCTGCCTCTCGGAGCCGCATGCGGCGTGGCCACTGCTCGCTGCGCTCGGGGGCTCAGCTGCCGCGCCCTCCCGGGGGAGCCGAGGCCCTTGCACGCCCTCACCCGCGGCCAGGGCGCCTGCATGACCACACCCAGCGATGAGGCCACAGGTACTCACCTGGGTTCCTCCCTTGGGACAGATGGGGTGGGAGGCTGGGGCAAGACAAGGAACGGTGCTCCACCGAAGCCAGTAGGGAGCAAACCCGGCCAGGCTCAGAGCTTGCAACCAACGCATGGAAGGGGAAAGGATTTTAAGTCGCCTAGACGAACCCTATTGTTGTGTGGTCCTGCAGGGGGGCTCAGGATTAGGGAGGACACACACAGCTTGGTGGGAGAGTTGGGGAGGGAGTCCGGAGCCCCCTTGGCAGCCCACTGATCTATAGAACCTGGACATGAGAAAGGAGGGAGGCGATGGGGATGCCCAGGCAGTGGGTGCCACTCTAGGTGCCCCTGGCTCTCCTCTCTGCCATTTCCTGAAGGCCTGCAGTGGGAGCCCATCCTGCTGGCCTCCTGGGAAGTGTTTCGTAATATATGTCCTGTGCAGACCGTTATGTGCTTACCAGATGTTTACAGAACATAATGTGAAAGTTTAGGTTAAAAACTTCACTTGCATTCATTGCCATAGAAAAACGGTGTTTGATGTGTGTGCCGCCTGCTCAGAACTTGACAATTAGAGCTTTCCTGAATTTAGCAGTGATTTATTTGTAGTGGGAAGCAGAGGAAATATCCCCTTCTCTACCCTCTCTCCCTACTTCCCTGTCCCTGCAGCTGTGTGTCCAGTGTGGTTCTGTGATTTTTGGAGCCATCCTGTGGCTCTTTGTCCTGATGGGGATCTGCTGGAGGGGAGACGGTTTTTCTTCTGGTTCTCCGCTTTCAGAGGCAATGAAATGGAGTCATCTCCGTGGCCCTCAGAGGATAAGGCACCCCCACTCCAGGGGAGTTCCTCAGGAGAGCCAGTTCTCCATCATTCTGTCCATGTACCAAACCCAAACCTTAGGACTCTCTGCATCAAATCTGGTGACCCTCTCTCCTCTTCCCAGGGTTGCAAAGAAGTCACTTTGACTGTGGGAAGGCAGAGTCCCTGGAAAAGAAGAGAGTAGAACTGCAGTCTAGACCCACCTCTGAATGAACCCTACCACCTGTTCATAGGGAATTACTAAAATGTCCATTTTATGGATGGGAAAGAAGAGAATAGGATGAGGATTTGAATTGTGGTTTAGTTGCTAAGTCATGTCCGACTCATGCAAGAGTCATGTCCGACTCTTGCAACCCCCTGGGCTATAGCCCACCAGGCTCCTCTGTCCATGGGATTCTCCAGGCAAGAATATTGGAGTGGGTTGCCATTTCCTTCTCCATTTGAACTGTAATCCATGGCTTTCTCAGGGCTCTTCCCAGGCTTTGACAAATGTGCATTTGGCTACATTAGAAGCAGAATCATAGGGCACTCTTGCCTTTGGTATTGCTGTAGGGTTACTCCCTCTACCCAGAAACCACTAAAAGTTCCTTTAAAGAGGAAGTAGGCAAAACTCTGGGTCAGTATGACCATCCTGTCCCCGTTTGGTTTTGTGGGAAAGGAAACAACTTCAGGGGGTCACAAGTGCAGATGCTTCGGTGAGGGGGGCTCATGGGTTTTTGTTTTTTCATTTTCAGATACAAAGGACACCACCAACCCAGAGAATGTGTCCCCGGAGAGCTCAGAGATAACTCAGGAGCAGCTTCTGGACAATTTCCACTTGATGGCCGAGTCCAGTGAGGACCTTCCCATTCTCTGGAATGCCATCAGTAATTATGAGAGCTTGAGGGCTCTTGAGATCAGTGACATCAAGAAGTGGAAGGTGAGACCCTTGAAACAGGTGGAACCTCTAGCTTGAACCTGCTGGGTCTGCCAGTTTGGTCCTGTGCCCTAGCGATAGCACATTCTTCCCCAAAGCCTAGCAGACATTTCTCAGCTTAGATGTGCTAAGCTTTCAACAAAGGAACCTGCTGGATAGAAAGAAAATGCAGTCCATGCTGTGCAACTTTAGATGCATTACTTCATGTCTCTGAGCTCATCTCTAAAATAAGAGTGTCAGACTAGCAGTGTCTAAAGAGCACTGAGCTGTTCTTATCTTCCTCTCCTGTCGCATCTTCCTCCCCACTTTTAAGAAATTGTGTTAAAATATTCATAACATAAAAGTTAGCCCTTTAACCATTTTAAAGTATAAAGTCTAGTGGCTTTAAGTACATTCACATTATTCTGCCACCACTGTCTATTTTGAGAACTTTTTCATCTTTCCAAATGAAAACTCTGTCCCCATTAAACACGAACTGCCTGGTAGCATCTTAATTGGTGTCTGTTTTCAGTTCTACCACTTGAGGGCGACAAAGAATCAAAGTTGGAGTGGCGGGTTCTTTTGTGAAAACAAAAATCACTTCTGCAAACATGCGTAATCAGAAAAGTGGAGGATTGAACTGTTTTCTAGGCACTTCAGAGTTTCATCTGGAAATGATACATAACAATAAGTTGTACAAAATTTAGAAGTCTCTCCTACTAAGTCCTCTATTCACAAAGTTGTGCCCAGACGACTGGTGGCAGAATTACCCATGATGGGGAGAGGGGGGCAGGAGAGTCGGAGAGCTCATGGCATTAGTGATGCTCCTGACTCCTTTAGGTGCTTAGCGAATGTTCAGGAGGGCGGGCATGGGTTCCCATCTTTTATGTTAACAATTCAGGACAGAGATTAGCCACCCTCCTTCTACAGGTGAGAGAGTGAGGCCCAGGGAAGGCGGGTCCAGGCCTGTGCTCAGAGCCCACATAAAACCTTCTGCATTCACTCCCTGCCTCCACTTTAGGCTGACAGTACACAATATCAATTTATCCTTTTAGGAGCCCTGCCAGCGAGAACTCTACAAAGTGCTGGACAGATTAGCCAGGGAGCAGCAGAAGGCAGGAGACAAACTTTACAAATTTTATCTGCCAAACTGCAACAAGAATGGATTCTATCACAGCAAACAGGTATGTGCATCCTCACAGGATGGCCCCTGCTACTCACACCTCTGCTAGGCCAGTCTTTCAGTGAACAGGGTGTCCAGCTCCAAGTAAGCACCGTTAAGCCCCATAACAGATCATATCATGTAAGACTCATTTCTCTGGGACTAGGAGCCACTAGCCCCTGGGAGCCTGAAGATCAGCTTGGTGCTTTCAGTCAGTGGGGGCCACTAGCCTCAGGGATCCTGGGATGATCCCTGAGGATGGGATCACCCCTGAGGATGGGATCATCATCCCTGAGGATGGATCCTCCATCATCCAGCAAGTCTGAGCAGGTGGGGGCCTTCACAGGCCCCTCGGAGTCTCAGTTTCTCACCATAATAGAGAGGAAGGGGACAACTCTACTTAGGAAACGATTATCTGTTTCGGCATCTCTCACATTTTTCTCCCTACAAAGGAAAATGAATGAACTTTATAATTCAATACAATAGCATTGTTTCTTGGATAATAAATGAGATTAAACACACCAAAACCTAGTTTTGAAGAGCCCTTTTGGACTCAGTGAAGCCCAGATTCTGTGAATATTTCTGGAGGAAACTGAGGACCAGGAAGTGCTTTGTAACAGATGAGGCATTTGTCAGAGAAGGTCTGCCATGCACGGACAGGCTCCCTCTGGGCTCAGCAGCTCTGTTTGCATGGGCTGTGAAGCAAACAGTTATGCACATGCTACACCGTTCAACACACACCTGACGTCCTTGTTGCTCCGGACACTTGACCTTTGTCTCCATTGTGATGTAGGATTTGCCCTCAGTCTTGTTCACGGCCAGTTTGGGGTGGGGTGTGGCTCACAGTTGGTTCTCAGCTGGGCGGCACAGAGCTCCCCCTCCCCCTCAGCTTCACTGGGGCTGCTCTTGACCTTGATCCTTCTCTTTGCAGTGTGAGACGTCGCTGGAGGGAGAGCCTGGGCTCTGTTGGTGTGTCTACCCTTGGAGTGGGAAGAGGATCTTGGGGTCTGTGGCCATCAGAGGGGACCCCAAATGCCAACAGTATTTTAACTTACAGAACTGAAAAGAGATGCAATATGATCGAATTCCTGCACATGAAATATTTAAGTACATAGTATATTTATACTCTGAAACACACACACACTTTTATATAGAGAGATGTATATATATGTAGGAATTACTTTTTTATACTCCACATATTACTTGTAGTTTATTTATTCACAATAAATTTATTTTTTCTACACAGTAACTTGTGTTATATTAATTTATATATCATGAAACACGTCCCATCATGTTGTATGTAAATACTTGTATTTTAGATCTTCAGGGGTTTGTGCTTCTGTCTTAAAGAGCATAGGATAATACTGCCTAGCAAGTAGCAATGATTTTTTTCAAGTGGTTCAATGGAAGATGTTTAAGCTGCATGTAAGAATGATTTACTCTATTTACCGTGTCTAGCGTAAATTGGCAGGGAAACTTAAATGTTGATTATGTAGTCAAAGCTACATGTGATGATGTCATTAAATGTTAAAATATGCATTGGATATATTGTCAAGCATGGGAACACAGTGTAAACACTGGAATAAATGTCCCACCCTGGAACACTGCTACCGTCGTGGACATTGGTTGAACATAACGTCTTCTTCCTTCCTGAATTCCTTCCGTCCTCCATCCCGCCCCTTCCTTGTGCAGCATTCGTGATTAGACTCTGCAGGCTCCTTATTCCCACAGCGGGCAGGTCTGCTCTGCCCACTGAGGGCTCCTGCTGCCCAGGGTACTCCTCCCTTTTTGAGCCCTAACCTCGCCACTAGCTCTTCCCCTTCCTCTTGAAAACAGGCCAGGGTTTCTCCCATCTTCAGTGTAAGATAGAATCACTTCCTTAACCTCTCCCTCAGCTGTCTGTTCTCCGACTCTGCCCAGACCCTGTCCTCCGCAGGCTCCAGAGGTATCCTCCATGATGGCACCCTGTTTGGCCCTCTGTTAGCCTGACTAAGCCCTGAGCTCACAGCCTGAGTCCTCTGTTCTGTGGATTTCTTTCTTTCTTTAACATTCTCTGCTTGCTTTTCCTGACACTGCCCCTTCCTCGTTCCTGCCTGCCCTGCTGACTGCTCCTTCCTTGTCTCCCCTGGATGGGCATCTCATCCCTCCTATTGGATCCCACCAGGTTCCTACCTTGTCTGGGCTCCCCGTCTTGGGTCTGCCCCTTCTCTCTCTGACCCCATGTCTGCCACCCTCCCTCTGCCTGGGCCCCAGGGCTCCCTGTGAACTCAGCTCTCAGACTCATCATTTAAAATGTACCAGGGTGTCTGATGTGAGTCAACCATAGCCTCATCCCACCCTGGTAAAAGTGGAGAGCATCATGGTCACCATTATCCCACGATGGCAATGGGAGCATTCTCAGCGCTTCAGCCCTCATGAGACCCCTGTAGGACCCAGCTTGAGGGCCTGACTCAGGAGCAGAGCTGGGGGAAGGTGAACTTCCCTTCCCATGACATGTGGGAGGTATCTTCTGGGCAAAACTAAAAGCACTTAACTCTAAACTTGAAGGTACCATCACAGCAATGCCTACAGAGGTCCTCATCTCAACCGAAGTTGGGGGCTTTCATCCACCTTGTTTAGGTGGTTAATCGAAAGTATCAGTTAGACTATACAAGTATCAACATGGTCTTAGATGTGGGGCCCAGCCCTGTCCAGTCCCAAGGCTTTTGAACATGCTCTCATGGATCGGGCATAACTGGCCACTCTGTCTTATGTTTCTAGCTCCAGTTTCTCTCAAACAAATCAGGAGTTGATGGACATTTGTGAGGGAATCTGAGTGAAGGGTCCTTCACGATTTCAGTGCCCCTACTGCATGTTTTCTTGTTGTTGTGTACACCTGATTCTCAAGCAACCACCCATGTGTGGAGAACATAGTCACAACAGCAAGTCCCATGGGTGCACACAGGTCTCTGGGGGCATTGGCTCTGGGGACAGCTCCTTGGCGGGACAGAAGGACCTCTGCCCCAGATGTGTTTGGAAACTCTTCCATGTCTGATCCAGGCCATCAGCATTATTAACAGGATGGTTTCTGTGGTTCTGTCAGTTCTGGGATGTTGCTGCTTTGTCCTCACAGCCAGCAGAGGTGGAAGGTACACATGGAACCTCTCCCTGGTTTTCATGCTTTTGAGTCTATGGGTCTAAATTGGGATAACACTTCCCTCCTTCCTGAGCTTGGGACTCCCTCCAATCTGAGGCAGCTAGAACAGTGCTCAAAAGGAAATTTACAGCTGTACATGCCCCTATTAAGAGAAAAAAAATCTCAAAAAACTTTAGGACACTGGAAAAGGAAGGTCTAAATCAAGCAGAAGCAAGGAAATAATAAAGATTAGAGGGAAATAAATGAATAAATAGAGAATAGAAAATCAATTGAGAAAAATCAGTGAGATAAAAACTTGTTCTTGAAAAGATCTACATGATTGACAAATCTTTAGCTCTTCTGACCAAGAAAAAAGACTCTAATAAGTAGAATCAGAAATGAAAGAGGTGGCTTTACCACTGATCTTACAAAAAGAAAAAGGATTATAAAGGAATACTATGAACAACTGTACACTAAAAAATTGGATTACTGAGATGAAATGAAACATTTTAGAAACACAGGAACTACCAAAACTGACACAAGAATTAGACTATCTGATTAGACCTGTAACAAGTGAAATGATTGAATTAGGAAAAGAAAAAACTGCCCATTAATAAAAGCCCAGACCCAGATGGCTTCTTTGAGGAATTCTACCAAACATTTAAAGAATACAAATTCTTTACAAACTCTTCCAAAATTTAGAAGATGGGAGAACACGTATCAATTCATTTTATGAGCCTACAGTCATAAAAGTTTTACTTTGATTCCACACCAAAGACATCACAAGAAAAGAAAACTACTGCCCCAAATCTCCTATGACTATGGGCACAAAAATTCTCAGCAAAATACTAGCAAACTAAGTCCAGCAACACGTTAGAATAATTATTCACCATAATCAAGTGGGATTTACCTCAGGAAGACATGGTTGTTTTAACATCCTAAAATCAGTTAATGTAATAAACCATACAAATAAAATAAAAAAAACCCCACAGATCATCTCAATAGGCTCAGAAAAAGTATTTGATAATATCCAACATCCTTTCATGATAAAAACACTCGACAAACTAGGAACAGAAGGAAACTTATTCAAGTGGACAAAAGGCATCTTGGAAAACACCACAGCTGACATCATAGTTGATGGTGAAAGTCTATATGCTTTTCCCCTAAAATCAGAAACAAGACAAGCATGTCTGCTCTCATGACTTTGCTTACATTGTGTTGGAGGTGCTAGTCAGGTAAGTTAGGCAAGAGAAAGAAATGTAAGGCATCTAGAAATAGGAAGAAGTAAAGCTATATCTGTTTGAAGATGACATGATCTTATACATAAAAAATTCTAAGGAATCCACTAAAAGATTATTAGAACTAATAAATGATACAGAATCAATATATAAAAATTAATTGCTTGTAACAATCAAAAAATGAAATTAAGAAAATTTCACTCACAACAGTGTCAATAAGAATGAAATACTTAGTAGTATATTTAACAAAAGAAATACAAAATTTGTATTCTGAAAACTACAAAATAGTTTTAAAAGAAATTAAAGATGAATCACAAGCTGGAACCAAGATTGCTGGGGGTAATATCAATAACCTCAGATATGAAGATGATATCACACTAATGGCAGAAAGCAAAGAGGAACTAAAGAGCCTCTTGATGAAGGTGAAAGAGGAGAGTGAAAAAGCTAGCTTAAATTTCAACATTTCAAAAAACGAAGATCATGACATCCAGTTCCATCGCTCCATGGCAAATAGATGGGAAAAAATGGAAACAGGGACAAACTTTATTTTCCTGAGCTCCAAATCACTGTGTATGGTGACTGCAGCCATGACATTAAAAGACACTTGCTCCTTGGAAGAAAAGCTATGACAAACTTAGCGTATTAAAAAGCAGAGACATCACTTTGAAAACAAAGGCCTGTCTAGTCAAAGATATGGTTTTTCCAGTAGTCATGTATGGGTGTGAGAGTTGTACCATAAAGAAAGTTGAGCGTTGAAGGATTGATGCCTTTGAACTGCGGTGCTGGAGAAGACTGGAGGGTCCCTTGGACTGCAAGGAGGTCAAACCAGTCAATCCTAAAGGAAATCAATCCTGAATTGGAAGGACTGATGCTGAAGTGAAGCTTCAATACTTTGGCCACCTGATGCAAAGAGCTGACTCATTGGAAAAGACCCTGAAGCTGGGAAAGATTGAAGGCAGGAGAAGGGTATGACAGAGGATGAGATGGTTGGATGTCATCATCGACTCAATGGACATGAGTCTAAGCAAGCTCTGGGAGATGGTGAAGGACAGGTAAGCCTGGCGTGCTGCAGACCATGGGGTTGCAGAGTCAGAAATGACTGAGTGACTGAACAAGATACAAAAAGGCCAAAACCCAGCTGCCATTTCTGAGGTTCTGGGAGCAAAAGTGGGGGACTGTGCATGATCCCTTTACACCAAGGGGGTGGCCGGACTACCTAAGCCACTCCTCCAGCACACCTGTTGGCCCCTAACCTTATTCCATTTAAGGGACTGGCTCATCCCACTCCTCTGACCCATCTCAGGAAGGGAGCAAGGACACTTGTTACTTGTTCTCACACCCTGGTGCTGCAGCAGGAGCCCCACCCTGAATTTCTCATCAGGCCTCTTATCGATTTCTGTTGATTAAGGAGTCCAAGGACCCAAGCTGGTAACAAAGGGAAGGGAAACAGCAGCAGTGATGCCTTGGACCTTATTCATCCGCTGTGTTCCCCTGCACTCACAGCCCACCAGCTGCATGGCCCACTCACGTCGTCTTCTTTACTACGTTTCTCTACAAGAGCAGTGATCCTGTGTTTTGTTCTCTGCATACAGACGGTTCTAGGACAGAAAATGTGGACAACACTACTGGTGGAATGTGGGGCCAGGAGAGGAGGCCAACTCATTTTCAAGGCTGGGGCTGTGGCTAGGCTGGGGTTGTGGGAATGGGAGC